GAGTGGGATGAAGGCTGATCAATCAGGGTAGCCTTGAAAAGAAAAGCTGAAATTTCAGTGCTTAGTTTCAAAAATTGGCTGATCATTCAGCCTTGCTTAAAAACAAAGGCTGAACACAACTTCAAGCTTTCCTATAGCGCAACACGCGACGTGCTGCCAACAGTGCACACGACGTGCCTACACAACTTCACACACGAAAATACAGTACCTTCTATTGGCAACAACATGGGCGAATCCGAGCTAATTTCCAGTGATTGGGCGAATTTCTGGAACAACGTGTTGTGTCAGAGCAAAAAGTCTTGTGATTGGGCGAAATTGTTGTGGCTCTGACGGGGCGAATCTGTTCTGTAGGGGCAAATTTGCTGTCTCGGGGCGAATCTGTAGTGACGAGTCAAGCTGAAAGACTTGGTGCCATCTGATTGGCCAGGCAGGTTTTTGATTCTCGGCGCTACACGAATCTCCACTAGTGGGATTTCAGCCCACACACCCGTTACAACGCTGATCAGTCAGTGTACACCTCAAAAAAACTCTGAAATTTCAGACCATACAATGAAAAAAATGCTGAAAAATCAGCCGGTACAATGAAAAAAAAGCTGACAAATCAGCCCCACTTTCTTCCCAGCACTGAAATCTCAGCCTTTTTACCCCTAATCAGCCTTTTTTCGCTGACTTCTGAGGCCCTGAGTCTGATCAAATCAGACTAACCCAATATACCGTATCGCCCCGGATATAGGCGCCGTCCGATTAAAGGCGCCGGCGCTTCTATCTGGAGCATGGCGCTTATGGCCGGAATTCGATTATAAGCGCCCCCCCTGAAAATGCTTTACTTATTATAAGCGCACGCCTAAATTTATTTTTCATTCCTGATTAAAACGGTAACGAACTTCATATTTCTAGCGAGTCACATCACATTTTCACTTTGTTTGACTTTCGCGGACCTCACTGGTTGCGCGTCCAGTCAGTATGAGCTGGCACGCGGGCAAAATGACGCGCCAAAGCTCAGTGCACCGTCAGAAATTCGCCCTCGCGCGATTCTGATTCTGGACGCTGTAAAGTTTTAATTCGGTTCAACTTACGAGACTGAACTGTACATGTTGGTGCGTTTGAATTGTATTTCTGTATTTGTCTTTATATAAGCGCCGGCGCTTATGGCCATTATTCAATTACAAGCGCCACCCTTAAAAAAATCGATTTTATTATAAGCGCCATGGCGCTTATATCCGGGGTGATACGGTACTACGGTAAGTCTGACAAATCAGACAGGCAAAAAACGAATCTGAGGGCCTGCTTCTAACTCTTCGACTTCGTACTCGGTAGAGTCGGCTCCTGCGGCATACAGGAATTCCTTCTCACAAAACTTCATATCGTAACAGGATTGAAAGCGAGGACATTTAGAGTCGCCATGATTGCAGCGCAGGCAAGAGTAGCGTGCAGGCGGCAAAGCAGAGTGCAGGCCAGGAGAAGCTGTGATGCAATGTTTTGTTAATGGTGGGTTATGCATGGTTGCATGTAGGGGAAGCAGTAGTGGCATTTTGATTTTCTCTTGCAAACAGGGTGTTTCTATAGATAGCCTTACAAAGACAAGAATACTAGCCAAAACACACTGATTAGCACCGGGCAAAGAAATTTCCACCCTGACTGTCAGGCAAAGGGCTCTCGGGGACCCTGATATGGCAGGGTCCCCCAAAACCAATTTTGGGCCCTGCCTCAAGCAGGACGTGCCTTGGCGATGCATGGCCGTGCGACGTCATTCATGACTTGTTCACTTCTGCCAACCGAAGATGTGAACTGGCCTCAAGTGGTAACCCTGTTCCAAGCTATCACGAAGCGACGCCTAGCATCAAAGTTTTCCTGTTAGCATTTGCGAGCGATGCATCTACCAGCTAGTGAAATGATGTGATACGGTACGGTAATTGATTTTAATTTAATTTGTGATTTACATTGGTATGTACCAAAAAAAGGGTAACTTGACGATTTACACTGATCAGAACAAGAGGTTTCTAAGAGGACACTAATTTTCACGCGGGATTTATTTTTAACCCTTACAGAAAAGCCAATCCATGTTAACCTATCCAAATTCTATCCTGATGCCTAAACCCTAGAGTGCACTGCACACTAGAATCACTGTCACTTGTGCCTAGACTGACCGTGAGCAGGCACATTACACGAATAGGATTGTGCCAAGCATCAGAGTGATGACAGCAGTGAGAGCAGTGACCGGTGTAGCAAGCAAACCTGCCATTGTGAGGGTGGCAACAAGACAATAAGAATGAGGGCAGAACTAAAAACCCGCTCTAGTAAATAAGGGTATAATGAAAAGAGGGAATCAGAATGAAGAGGTGTGGAAATGTGAAGGGGGGATACATGGTGAGGTACCATGAAGATTGCAAAGAGGGGCAACAGAAAGCGGAAGAACGGATGGCACAGCAGTAAAGGGCGCAGAAGTAGAAGGAGCAGGAGAAGAAGGAACAAGCTACCTGCAGCCTTGGGTGGGGAAGGAGTAGCCGGAGAAGCGGAAGGGGAAGGAGAAGGAGGAGGAGCCGGAGCAGCAGAAGAAGGAGCAGCAGAAGAAGGAGCAGCAGAAGAAGGAGCAGCAGAAGGAGAAGGAGCAGCAGAAGAAGGAGCAGCAGAAGGAGAAGGAGCAGCAGAGGGAGAAGGAGCAGCAGAAGAAGGAGCAGCAGAGGGAGGAGCAGCAGCAGAAGGAGCACTGCCACTAGCGCCACCGTTGCTGGCGAAAGTAACGGTGCCATTAGGGTTGAGCGTGAGCGGTGCGCCGAGATAGATCGATGCGCCTGTGGGGCCAGCAATGGTGCCGTTGCTCCACCCTTTCAGGTCCCCTGCAGTGTACGACCCGTCCGCATTGGCAGTCGGCACAACTGGTTTTCCCGAGGCGCCCACGATCGTGCCGTTCTTCAGGAGGGTCGTCTTTCCCATGCTGAACCCAGCAGTCGGTCCATTCACGACCACAACAATGCCAGGACCAATGAGCGTGCCGTTGGTGTAGGCAGTGTACGCGCCATCAACAGTGACGGAACCGTCGGCGGGGTTTTTGAAGCCTTTGAGAGTCGCGCCCGTCGAGTCGACGGCGGAGGTGAATCCTGTCTCACTCCACGTCACCGTGTAATTATTGCCGAACGTCAGGCTGTTGGTGGTCGAGTTGTAGGAGTAGCTGCTGCTGGGGGCAACAAAACCAACGGAGCCGTCAGGGGTGAGCGCGAGCGGTGCGCCGAGATAGATCGATGCGCCAGTGGGGCCAACAATGGTGCCGTTGCTCCACCCTTTCAGGTCCCCTGCTGTGTACGACCCGTCCGCATTAAGAGTCGGCGTAACTTTCTTTCCCGAGGCGTCCACGATCGTGCCGTTCTCCAGGAACCTCGTCTTTCCCATGCTGAATCCCGCAGTGGGCCCACTGGTGACGATTACAATGCCGGGACCGGTGAGCGTGCCGTTGGGGTAGGCGGTGTATACCTTATCAACAGTGACGGATCCGTCAGGGTTGTTGACGAATTTGAGAGGCGCGCCATGGGAGTCGACGGCGGAGGTGATTCCCGCGGGACCCCACGTCACCGAGTATCCATTGCCGAATAGAAGGCTGTTTGTCGCCGAGACGAGAGCGTATTTGTTGCTGGCGGCGGCGGTTGAGGGAGAGGCAGAGTAAGCGGCAGCAGCAGCCGACGAGACGAAGATCATGGCGGAAACCAGCATGGTGAGCGACGGAGGGGTCTGGCGAGCCATGGCTGGAGGGGGGAACACCCGAGGAAGAGTAGACTACTAGAGAGAAAAGCTGCACAGGCGCTGGCTGCTCTAAACCGAAGCTGGAAGTGCTCGTAATAATGATCAGTCCCTCCTCTCACGATCCTTTGTACTAATGAGTGAGTTGGCGCGAGGGACTGATAGGGAGCATAATTATGGGAGGCGCGGAAGAACATGCTAGCAGATGATGGCGCGGCGGGAAGCGCGGGCAGAGAAACTCTATCGTGGGATGCAATAGAGAAATTCTTCATGGCGGAAGAACATGCCAGCAGATGGCGAGGCGGGGCGCGGACAGATAGACTCTATCGGGATGCAATAAAAAATTCCTCCTGGCTCACTGGACCAATCGATCGCAGCCACGTGCGCCTCGTGGGAGAAGCTCCGTTGTGGCTGTCAGGATATTCTTCCATTCAAAAAGACGGCCACCATTATTCCATTCCACTGACCATTATTGCTGTGCGTGAAGCCGAGGTAAAGAATTGTCAGCTCAGGCCAGGCCAAGGAGGGCTTCTTGCGGTGGTTGGATCGCTTGGATGTTGCGGCTCTTGGGCGTGAAAACATAACCAGTTTGCGAGGCTCGCATGGTGGATTCGTGAAAACGCTGGTTACCTCATCGACTCTGGGTGTGAGCATTTGTGGCCAAAGCTGCAAGAACCATAGCTGGTAACCACGTTCGCACGATTGCGCTAACTCGGGTTTCGGGCCCCAAACCCAAATGTCCAAGCCTTCAATCACACAGCCCTGCAAGGCGCCCATTGGTGTTTCCACACCCACCACACCACACCACCCTGTTTGGACTATTGTTCTGGTTCGGGAACAGCGTGGAGCCTGCTGACATCAGCAGGCAGTCAAGTGTCACGTAACAAGCATGTCCGGCTGCTGATATCAACAAGTTACGGAAACAGAGTTTTACCGCGCGCTGATTGGGTGCGAAGTGCCCTTTCCTTTATAGATGAAGTTGGAATGTGTAGGCGAATCCATCCAAATTCGTCAGGGTGAAGGGTTGGGGAACAACTGGCGGAAGGGCGGGAATACCAGTGCGTAAAGGTAAGCCAAATCTCCGTTTCGAGCGCAGCGCACTAACAAGGTTCTCTAGTAGCTATCACACGCAAAGAAACTACGGGTTTAGGCACGATCCCCGCAACCCTCCTCATATAATCGCACACTAGGGTTCCATCGGTAGTTTTTGTCATCTACTACCTTAGAGCAATGCCGCCGCCCGCCACTAGTATGCCAGGCCGCAGGCGATGAGCCACATCGTGGCGGCCTCGCCGGGAAATCCGCTGATCGGCCCGCCTCCATCCTCGCAGCATATAATCGCAGCCTCGTCACCCCTTCGTCTCCTCGCCAAAACACCCTCCGCGCCGCGTCGCGTCCTGGCTGTGTCGCCCCCTCGCCGCCACCTCGCCTCAAAATGGCCATGAGTGGGGTACACACGTCACCCATTTCGCCCGCGTCGCACCCCCCACCGCCCACGTCGCACGCTTCATTCCACCCCTGTTTGCGCTCCTCTCTCCCTCCTCTCGTCCTCTCTCCCCTGTGTCGTCCGCTCTCATTCCCTTCCTCCCCGCTTTCATTCCCTTCCTCCCCGCTCTTATAACCTTCCTCCCTGCTTTCAGTCCCTTCCTCCCCGCTCTCATCCCTTCCGCCCCGCTCTCATCCCTTCCGCCCCGCTCTCATCCCTTCCGCCCCGCTCTCATCCCTTCCGCCCCGCCCTCATCCCTTCCGCCCCGCTCTCATCCCTTCCGCCCCGCTCTCATCCCTTCCGCCCCGCTCTCATCCGTTCCTCCCCGCTTTTTTTCCCTTCCTCCCCGCTCCCATCCGTTCTTTTCCTCTCTCATCCCTTCCTTCCCGCTTTTGTTCCCTTCCTCCCCGCTCTCAGCCGTTCTTTTCCACTCTCATCGTTTCCTCCCCGCTCTCAGCCGTTCTTTTCCACTCTCATCGTTTCCTCCCCGCTCTCATCCGTTCTTTTCCACTCTCATCCCTTCCTCCCCGCTCTTATCCCTTCCTCCCCGCTCTCATCGTTTTGGTACTTTCTTTGCGAGCTCGAGTCTGAAACAGATGTGTCTCAAACGATTGCGACACCTCAATATTGAGTACGTTGGATGGCACCTTAAAGCCGGCGGCCCAAATTGTTCATGCTTTTAAAAGTTGACCAGAGGGAGTTTTTCTGGTGTGGGCTTTGGCGAGAGTTTCCGATTTCGTCTAGGTTCGTTTTTTTCGCGAGACCCAGCCAACCCTCGGTTTTCCCCCTGGTGAGTAAATCTGTCTTCGGAAGTCCCAAATTGCAAGTGCATGACTTTCAAAAGCTTGCAAGTTTTAAAAACTTGACCCTCGCGGCCCGCAATTTGGGACGCGGGCTTTAACGCAGATCGCTTGTATGCAAGGAGCTGGTTTTTGAGAATTCTCAAACGCAGATCGCTTGTATGCAATTGGAAATTTTCAGTGACTGGGTTGGGTAGCGTGGATCAACAAAGACGATAACCTCCCTGTTTCTGCTCGTTCCCACCCGCAACCCCACCCAGATGCATGTTGTCATTCTCCCAATAAGATGAAATACTTGAGATGACGCCACTATAACCACATTAGCGGACGAGTCCTGCATATCAGCCTTTATTTCTCGCTAAGTTCGTCCATGCATTTAGCACACACATTGCCTACACCAATGCAGAGCTGAAAAAATCAGCTTCAGCTTTCATATGCTTGAATGCATTCACCAGGTGCCAACAGGATCCAGCAGAGCTTTTTGAAACGCTTGTTGGCAGCAGTCCTAGCAGCTAAAAAAAATCCAGAGCCAGGCAGCAGCGCGACCATTATCTCACCGGACATGCTCCACCATTCGCATTAACGCCCCCTGTGCTGCTGGGGTCGCATCGCAGCGACGTTTGAGTTGTCTCAAAAGTCCACTCGCACCAACGCCCCCTGTGCCGCTTGGGTTGCAGCGACCCCCCCTCCCACACTCACTCCAACCACACATGCACTCCTCGCCCCTGCAGGCAGTGCTGGCAGCGCTGCCACCGCCTTGGCTGCTGGGGAGACCTGCGCCGCCATGGCTGTTCCTCGGCAGACCCACACCGAGGGGAGTGGGGCGACCCACGTGCAGGCGAGGGAGAGAGGGGAGGTGGAGGAGGTGGAGGAGGAGGTGGAGGAGGTGGAGGAGGAGGTGGAGGGAGAGGCGGAGGAGGGGGGTGAGAGGGAGACCTTGACCAACCGGAGGGGTTGAGTGGGGTTGAGTACGATGATGAGGTAGTTGATCTTGGCGAGAGCATTGCTGCGAAGAAGGGGACAGGGGGGGGAGGAGTACAGATAGGTCAAGAGGGGTAGACGATCAACGCAGTGGTAAGGGTAGTGTTGCGAAGCCAGGAAGAGGCAGGTAAGAATTAAGAAGATCTTGAACTTGGTAGCTAGCAAGAGAGGACCGAGAGGATTTGTGGGGTGTTGCTGCCACCCATCGGGGGAGATGATGCGAGATAATGGAGGGGTTCATATGAGGGGTTGGCGATGCTGTAGTTGGTGAGTGTGTCGCTTCCAGGCGAATTGGACAGAGACACAGCGACGTGCTAGAGTGGCACAATAGTGCTGGTGCTGTTCACGTGGAGGACACGGGCATGGTGATAACACACTCTCATGTGTACGTAGATGACACACGCACTCACGTGGAGGAGACAGAGACAGTGGCGCCTCCCTTGGCTGCTCCGCCCAGCTGGGCGGCCGCAGTGGGGTAGAGCACCGGCGTGAGCGCCGAGGGGACTGGCGGGGTGCACGGGAGGGCAAAGAGAAGGCGGTTCTGAGGGTCCTCACAAGTGGACACCACCAGTGTGCCTCTTGGCGGGGTGAGGGGTGGCGTGCTGAGGGGTGTCGGGTTAGTGAGCGAGGGGAGAGGGAAAGGCAGGAGGATGGGGAAATGAGAACTTCAACGAGCTCAGCTCAAGCTTCTTCACAGATGCTGCCACGGTGGGGCGGAGCAAGGGAGGACTGCAACGATTGAGTCGAGGTATGCAGGAGTGTTGAGGGGTGCAGAGAGTTGTAGTAGGGTGCAGGACGAAGTGCGGCATGGAAAGACATGATATTCCTTTAGTGCATTGGTTGATTTTCCATCCTTACTTCCCTCCCTACTCGAACCCTCCACACCCTACCTCACACACTCCCTCCACCTCGCCACCGTTTATCACCACTCTCCACCCCTCACCCCACCCCACCCCCACTGTGCTCACCAGCGTAGAACGCCTTGGCTTGAGATAACGCGCCCATGCTGCTGCTCCCAGCGCCCACCACCGCAGCAGAGAAACCAATGCCACTGGTACCGCTCACAGTGATGCCACTTGCAGTGTCTCTACCCGCCGCGTTACCACCAGGAGTGTTACCACCGGCAGTGCTACCACCGGCAGCGCCAGCAGAAACAGCAGCAAGGAGGGCGGCAAGGGGAGCAGCAGGGAGGGGAGGCGAGGCAGGTGCGCCAGAGCAGTGCCACACGGAAGGCGCGGGCTGTGCGCAGGCGAGGAGGTGAAGGGGGATCGTGATGACGGGCTGCTGCTGTTGCCTCTGATATAAGGCGATTCGTTTGGGTGCGGTGGCTGGCCCGGTAAACACGAGAGTGTAGCGAAGGTTGTATTTTGTAGCACTGGAAAGGGGCGGGAGGGACTGGTGAGGTATCAGAAGAGAGTTTCAAGAAAGCAACTATATTCCAACAAAATCCTACTGCAGACAGAGTCAAGACAGGTAGTTGACTGCAGAAGTTATTACTGGGAGCAAACGAGCTATTGGAGAGAAGCGTTGCAGAATTGCTGCTTACTTTCTTTGAACGAGCAGGCTGAGAGTGCCAGCCGCCGCTTTGTCTGAAAAGCTCGTCACGAGGCTAACTGCCAAGAGGGGCGGTAATGTTTGAAACCAATGAGCGGCTGAGGATGGGGTGACACACGCGACGGGATGGTGAGGCACATGATGACATGCACGGGTGGGGTATCACGTTCTTGGAAATTTAGACAATAAAAGGGAAGACGAGAGAAATGAGGGAACATTGGGAGATGGAGAGAAAAGGATAAGGAAACGGGTGATGGTTGTTTTTCTCTGTGCAATAAGCTCCCATTTTAGATTTTGCAAAGAGCAGCCGCAGAATTCAGCGTAAAATAGGTTGTCAACAGAGGGGAGAGAGTATGTTGTGCTTCAGCGCATCTTGCGTTGTGATTCAGGCTGGGGAGTTTGATTTTCTGCCACAATTATTGGCCCCATTCTTTTGCCTTGAAATGTGCGGTGCGGCTATATCCAGCGGACATGCATTCTTGTTGAGTTTATGCAAACTGCATACAGGCCGTCGATGCTTTGAGGAGCTGCGCGCGAGGTGCGGGTAGCAGCAAGAGAAATCGAACAATTATCGTGGGAGCTGGCACTGCAGCCTTCGTTATGCCACATGACTGTGCCCTGCTACAAGTACGTTATGCAGCATGAGTAATTTTAGTTTCGGTGTTACGAGTGCAATGGAATGATCGAACGAGAATTGCACTATCGAAGCAAGAATACATCGAGCGAAAGTATGAGTGAAGATTATATAGCGAAACTACAGTGGTAACGGGAATGGACTGTGGTTGTCGCGCGACGGGCCTGGGACTGAGGTTGGGAAAGTGTCGAAGCGGAGGCCCGGAGCGCGGGTTACCAGCCAAGCCATGAGGACGAGGTGCGATGTGCGAAAGTGGCAGGCTGATTGTCGATGCGGGGATCGCGAGTGGTAACGGTGCTGACTGTGGTGCTACAGTGATGTACGCGTTGAGTAGGAATGCGAAGTAAGGAAAAGTGATTTACCTTACACTACCTCCACCTCCTAAGGAGGTCCTCCTTACGAAAGTGCGTGGACATCCCTGAAGTTTCAGCTGCGCAGATATTCGGTGAGAACGGGGTGGTTTTCGATTTTGTCCAGGGGAACCCAATTGTCTTCGGTGGGTGTACGGTACGGTCTTTCCAACGGATCAGGAACTCGATCTTTCGGGCTCCTCGAGGGTCACGAACTCTGTGGCTCAGGATTTTGTCAGGGGTGATGATTGGTTCGGTTGGCGGTCGTGCCATGCTGGCTGGGCGATTGCGTGGGAGTTGGCTTGTGGATGGGACGTAGGGGCGAAGCAGGCTGACGTGGAACGAGGGGCTGACGTACCAGTCAGCAGGGAGGAGGAGGTGCGCGGTGATAGGCGTTATCATATGGCTAATTCGAAATGGCCCATAGTATCGAGGGCGGAGTTTGGGGGCTATGGGCAGGCGGAGGTTCTGAGTGTCGAGTAAAACTAGGTCGTCGGGGTGGTAAGTGACGGGTCTACGGTGGCGGTCAGCGTTGCGTTTAGCGATGATGTTTGATTTTTTTTATTGCGTCTGCTGCCCTGGTCCGTGCTGCTTGAAAAATTTCGGCGAACTGTTGCGCGCGTGGAACTGGGTTGTCGGGATTCGGGGTCATGGGTACTGTTGGGTCTTGTCCGTAATTCAGGTAGAATGGTGACTGTTGGGTCGTGGCGGATGGGGCGTTGTTGTATGCGAATTCGATGAGTGGCAGTTGTTGTTCCCACGTGTTTGGGTCGTCGCACGTGGCCCTAATGAGCTGTTCCATGGTCTGATTTGTCCGTTCTGTCTGTCCGTCGGTTTCGGGGTGATACGATGAACTAAACTGTAGTCGCGTGCCGAACTGCTGCCACAGGTTCCGCCAGAAGTTGCTAGTGAATTTCGTGTCTCTGTCGCTGATGATGGATGCTGATATCCCGTGCAGTCGAACGACGGTAGAGATGAAGAGGCGGGCTGTTTCTTCGGCTGTGATTGATTTTTTGCAGGCTGCGAAGTGTGCCATTTTCGTCAGTCGATCGACGACGACCAGGATCGCGTCATTCCCACTCGCCCCGGCCGGTAACCCCGTGACGAAGTCCATCGTCACCTGCTGCCAAGCACGCTATGGAGGTGGAATTGGTTGCAATTGTCCCGCCGACCGTTTCCGGGTTGACTTCATGATCTGGCAAGTGGGACACGATGCCACGTGTCGTTGCACGTCGGTCAACGTTTCGGGCCAGTAATAATACCGCTGCAGCTGCTGCCGTGTTTTCTCTACTCCGAAATGTCCCGAGGTAACTCCGTCATGTGCCTCTTGTAACAGTAATTCCCGTAGCAGTGTGTACCCCAGTACCCAGATGCGTTCGGTTCCGGCTTTTACGTAATAGACTCCCTTGGCTGCTGCGAATTGCTGCAAGTTTCCTCCTGTGAAGAATGGGTCCGTTTGATATCCGTGGGTAAATAGTCCTGTTAGTAGCGGGCTGGTCTGGGCGAGTAGTATCGCATGGATCTGGGCAGTGGGGCGGGTCAGTGCGTCGGCGATGTTCGGGGCTCCCTTTTTATATGTGACTGTATAGTGGAAGTTTGACTCAAGGAAATCGAGCCACCAAATCTGTCGTGGGTTGAGGTGGGGCGGTGCGCGGAGGTACTCTAGGGATCGGTGGTCTGTCCGTACTGTCACGTCTGCACCGGTCAAGTAGCAGCGCCACACTTTGAACGCATGCACGATCGCGAGCATTTCGCGGTCGTGTATCGAGTAATTTCGTTTGGGCGGATGCAGTTTTCGTGATTCGTATGCGATGGGCTGTAGGCCGTTGCCGAAGTCCTGTAACAGTACGGCTCCAATGGCGATGTCGCTTGCGTCTGTAACAACTTCGAAGGGGCGATGTGGGTTAGCGATGCGCAGGACAGGTGGTGAACAGAGAACATTTTTCAGGGCAGAGAAGGCAGCATGCTCTTTCTCCCCCCACGTAAAAACGACCCCCTTGCGTAGCAAATCTGTCAGCGGGGCGGTTAATCGTGCCATGTCGGGGACGAACCGACGAAAATAATTAACGAGCCCTAAAAAACTTTGTAGTTCCGTCATGTTCGTCGGGGGATGCCACGCTTGTCAGAATAATATATAATTCTATATATTGTTTTGTAACTGGCTGTAGTGTAGACTACTGTAGTTATATAATGTTCTGTTTGGTGGTGCACCTTTCTTCTTGCCTATTTGTACTGCTCGCTCTATAGTGAAACTACTCTTTCTCCTCTCCAACTTTCTCGACTTCTCTCTAACTCAACTACTCGAACTCAACCAAGGCTCCTAAGCTATGGCTCCTAAGCCCAACTCTTGCTAGTAATTTGACAACGCTTTGACCGTATCCAACTTCCTGGGGTCGATTTCAACTCCAGCCTCCGAAATAACGTGCCCTAAAAACTCTAGCCTGTCCCGAAAAAACTCGCACTTAGAGCCCTTTGTGAGTAACCGATGTTCCTCTAAAACTTTATACACTGCTTCGAGATCTGCTAAGTGCTGCTGCTTGTCGCGACTGTAAACGAGGATGTCGTCGAGGTAAACTATAACGCATTTATCTAAAAGTGGCCTAAACGCCTCGTTCATGGTCATCTGAAATGTTGCCGGCGCGTTTGTCAGCCCGAAAGGCATCACCGTGTATTCGAACGACCCGTACCTATTCCTAAATGCTGTCTTGGCGCAGTCCGACGGTTCGACCCGAATCTGATGGTAACCCCCCCGTAAGTCTATTTTCGAAAACACCCGTGCTGTTCGCAGTTGGTCGATCAGTTCGTCGGCGCGGGGAATGGGGTACCGTGATTTGACTGTTACCCTGTTAAGCGCTCGGTAATCGATGCACATGCGAAACCCGCCGTCTTTTTTCGGTGTGAACAGTATCGGTGCGGCGAACGGTGACGAGCTCGGTTGGATGAACTGCTTCTCTAACAAATAATCTAACTGCTTCCTTAGTTCGTCAAGCTCGGGCTGTGTCAGTCTGAACTGGCGCTGTACAGTTGGCTGTGCCCCCGGTTCTAACTGGATCCTATGGTCATGCGCCCGCTGAGGTGGCAGCCCTTGCGGTAAGTCGTCTGGAAAAATCCCCGGGTACCGTTTCAACAGTTCCTGAAGTTCGGGCGGTACTGCTGCCAACAGTTTCTGAAAATCGCTCGGCTGCTCCTCTTCTCCCACTAATGCTATATCCACTGCGTACACGTCAGCTCCAGCGGCGACAACCCGTTTCATCGTGATGGCGTTGACGTGGACCGTTGAAGACTCGGGTGACTGCCAGCGAGGTAGTTCGACCCAGTTACCACTACTTCGCACGGTGCAGCTACCCGTCGTCCAGTCGATTCGCGGGTTATACCGTCGCAGCCAATCACGTCCCAATAAAATATCGTGCCCATCCAGTGTCGTTGCGAGCATTTCCTGTGTAAACCCGAAGTTCCCTCCGCAGCGGACTTTTACTCGCTCCACCTTTTCCCGTATGGCCAGTGGCGTGCCGTCGACTAAGCGTGCGTCTATCTCAGGTAAGCAACGGTTAAGTGTTAGCTGTAGTTTTTGTGCGGTTACGGTATTAACTAAAATGTGACTTGCTCCTCCGTCAATAAAAATCTTCACTGCTGCTCCCTGTATTTTCCCGTGGATCAGTACTGGGCAATCCGTCGCTGTACCCTCCTTATTCATCCGAGCCCGATCGATGGCGTGAATCGGTACTGTGACTTGGTGAGGGTCGGTGCAGTTGGGCGAGCAGGCAGTCTCGTCAGTAGTTGGCCCAACTTCTACTGACTGCTGGCGTTTCCCTGCCTCTGAGACTCCCTCCCCTGCTCTGCTCCGCGGCGCCTCAGCTCCTCTGGGCATTCGCTCTTGCGATGGCCCGGCCGGTTGCAAGCAAAGCACCGCCCTTTAAACGGTGCAGCAGCTGCATTTGTTGCAACGGCGTGTACAGTGGCGTGCTCGGTCGGTCCCCGAGGGCGATGCCCGTAGTAGGACCCCGGTCTCGGTCGCCGTAGAATGTCAATTTTCTCGACGAGCGCGAGAATCTCGTTGAAGTTGGAGAGTCCGCGCAGCATGATTTCGTGCGAGATATCTGGCTTCAGCCCTCCGACGTAACGGTCCACCCGCTCCGCTTCGTGCATGTAGCCGACC